CAGGTCAGGTTCAAACTAACTCCTCAGGTCAGGTTCAAACTAACTCTTCAGGTCAGGTGCAAACTTACTCCTCAGGTCAGGTTCAAACTAACTCTTCAGGTCAGGTTCAAACTAAATCCTCAGGTCAGGTTTAAGGTTCTGGTTTAAGTCCTCAGGTTAGGTTCTGGATCTAGCCGGGTTCTCTCAGATCCAATCAGGCGTTCTGACTCGTGCTTTTGGTTCTCTGCTGGTGTTTGGAAGAAACGTCCGGTGTATAAAAACTTTCAGGAACCTTTGGGTCTTTGCGTATTTTCAGCTTCTCCAGTCTTCGTGCTGAGCCGACTCCTCAGTGCTTCTTGCTGATTCGTTGGGACCTCCTGAGGCCATGCCTCCTGTGGTTCTGCGTAGACCTCCAGGACCGCAGGAAGTACCTGTTTGGGCTGGTCCTGTGGCTGCGGTTCTCCAGGTCGAACTGTCTCTGCAGTTTAAGGGCGAGCGCTCGGTCCTGTTGGATCTGACAGAGTGCCTCCTGGTTCACAAGCTGGCTCCTCTTCAGGTCTGGGTCAGGACCAGGGTCCAGGTGTTTGGTCTTCTGGATCCTCTTCTTGCCCCTCCTGGAGGTAGGCTGGTTGTGGATGCTGCTGTCGGACTCCCTCCTGGCAGTCTGCCAGTCCTTCGGCACTAATTTACTGGTGTCGTTGGRGTACGGTGAGATGGAGTGTTTCCTGCAGAACAGCGCCGGTCCGCCYGGCTCAGCGGTACTTCCTGCGGGCTCCTTGTCCGAACATCCTCGCAGAGTCGTGTTGCTGCTGTAACGTAGGGCGGGGACCCGGATCTTTACGGACTGATTCTGGAAGTCTTCCCCGTCTCCGGCCGGAGGTTCGAACAGCAGCTTCCTCTTGTTGGAAGGCGCGACCACGCCGTCCCTGGCTCGGTGTTGGCGGGTCTTTGTGGCACCGGCGCCCCCATCGGACCTGCTGTGGAGCTCAGAGACTGGACTCGTCAGCGTGGCCTTGGAGTTCACTTTGAGGCTCTGTCGGTCCAGTTCAATCTGCCGCCACTTCTGCAGGACCGCCGGACTGGCCTCGTAGCTGGTGACCTTCTGCAGCCCGCGGGTCAGGTTCCGTGGTGTGGACTTCACGATGGCGGGCTCCATGAGGCGGCCGTCCGGCAGGCGTTTGGGTGGCGTGCACGGTGAGCACACGATGGGCTTGAAGTGGTTGAGTTCCTCAGAGATGCTGTCGTTGCTCTCGGGGCTGATGGAGCGCTCGGTTCTGGGCGGGGCCAGGCCTAGAGGAGTGCAGGAGGTCAGAACCGGCCTCCAGGTGAGTCTCCGGTCCGGAGCCGTGATGGGGGCGGAGACGGAGCGGCTGTTCTCTGATGAGAGCAGGATTCCTGCGGCTGAGCTGTGGCTGATTCCCACCTGACAGGAACAGAGACGGATCAGAACCGAACCAACGTTTTTCACTTTGGTTCTGACCTGACAAACAAACCTACAACACGGTCCTCATTTCTTTACATTCTCTCCCCATGATCCAGACGTTCTTGTGATGCTCCTGAATCAGTTCCTGAATTATTCAACGACTCAGTTTCTGACTCAGTTCCTGAATTATTTCCTGACTCAGCTCCTGAATAGGTTCCTGAATTATTTACTAAATAATTTCCTGAATCAGTTCCAGATTCATTGTCTGACTGAGTTCCTGAATTATTTACTGAATCAGTTCCTGAATGATTTACTGAATCAGTTCCTGAATCATTTACTGAATCAGTTCCTGAATCATTTACTGAATCAGTTCCTGAATCATTTACTGAATCAGTTCCTGAATTATTTACTGAATCAGTTACTGAATCATTTCGTCAATCAGTTTGTGAATAACTTCCTGACTCAGTTCCCGAATCATTTCTTGAATCATTTACTGAATCAGTTCCTGAATTATTTACTGAATCAGTTCCTGAATTTTTTTTACTGAATCAGTTCCTGAATTTTTTTACTGAATCAGTTCCCTGATAAATGAATCACATCTTTAAAACCAAAGCAGTCATTTAAAAATTCATGTTTTAAAAATACTGAGCGCCGTTCACATGACCATATATGGAGTGATGTCACAATAGAAGGTCTCAGACCCTGAAGAGGACCACTGATGACCAGAACCTCCAACAGGAAGGTCTGGATCACAGGAAGGTATATTTTAATGATTAAGGACAAGACCAGGACTTTTAGACAGAACCAGAGTCTACTGAATMGACCCAGGTCCAGCGAGGTCCTAAGTCTCAGACCTACCCGCTCCATCACYGCCGCCGGCTGGATCATGACCTTCATCTTTCCTCCTTGGTCCTCCATCGGGTCGGTGCAGCTCTGACTCCTCTGAGACCCACTGAGGAGGAAACYCAGAGGTCAGAGGGCAGAACCAGAGGGCGTGGCCAGTTAAGACCCGGTCCACTCACCTGCTGAAAGCCGAGCAGTTTTTGGTTTTTCTGAAGAAGGCCGAGATGTTTCTGATCCTCCTGCTGATGGGCTCCTCGTTCTCCGAGTCGGACAGAACCCCCTGGTGAAAACCCAGCTGGTTTAAGGAAACATCAGGAAGAAGTTCAGTCGTCTATCAGCTGCGGGTCGGTCAGACTCACCGGTTCMTCGACACGACGGCCCGGTCCAGATTCGTCTCTACAGATCACAGAGTTCCTCCTCCTCGCCTCGTCTCTGTCATCAGAACCCAGAACCTGGCCCACCTTGTGCTTCCCTGTCAGGTCTGAGAGGACGTCTGCAGACTTTGGGATGAGAGCCGGGCAGACGAAGAGTTCTGAGGAGGAACAACAGAAACCACATGAAGAACCCGCATTCCTGTCCAGAACTTCAGGGTTCTGAAGAAACTCTTATTGACGCAGAGGAGCGCTGGATCAGCCGGTGCCAGGCCCATCTACCAACGAGATGAGCATTAGTGCCGCCATCTTGGAAAGAGCTTCGTATTRAAAACATCAGATTAAACAAACTAAACTATCAGAACCAGAACTTTGAAGGACGCAGKGTTTTAAATCTTTAACTGTGTCAGAAAATAGTTTATAAAATAAAACTGAGAACTGGACATAAACACAACACAGCTTCAGTTTCTGTCTGCTGAGTACAAACATTCCTTCAGTACTCTCAGATCTCATGGTACCCTCAATCCAGTTAGTACTCTCAGTCCTGGTAGTACTTTATAGGGTCACTTAGTCAAAATATTCTGAAAATAAATGAAGAAATATAGAGTTTTAAAACACGTACAGAGAGAATAAATCCTCAAAATTTCCCTCCCGCTGTAGAAAAGTTACGTCTTGAAAAATAAAAAATTAAATTAAATTTAAAAAAAGAAAAGTTACGTCTTGAAAAAAAAGAAAATTTAATT